CAACTCTCTGGGCTCGGCCGTCCAGCCACATTTTTAAAAAAATGTGAGTCACAGAAGACATCATCAGATACTGATTTTAGTGGTTGTTTTGGAAATAGCTGCAGACTTGGAATATGCTCTATTCAAAAACGTCGAAGAGGAATCAATAATTTTCCATACTTATCCCTACGAATCTGCAAAGGCTGTAAGGAAGCTTAGCTGCAGTCTCTCTGTAGTAAGTTACTCACATACAGCCGTTACCTCTTTGTCCTGACAGCTCCACACACCACCGGCAAGTATCACCCTTTCAAAGACAACCTGTTAAAATAAGGCTTTTCTGTTACCGCAAGTTATAACCAAAGCTCATTATCACATCGATCCTTCTCTGCTGGAGTCAGACAACAGCAAGAACTTGCACTGACAGCAAAGGAAGGAAGTTCACGCAGGTTCAAAAAAATGGTTTCATTATAAATTTATTTCTTTAAACATGGCCACTTTGAGATTAATGATACTACTTCAGGGAACATGAAAGAATAATAACTTAATTTTAGAAGGAAAACAATCAGGTAAGTCAGGATCTGCTTGTCGAACAGTAAAAGGCCAAACTCCAAGAGGCAATCAATTTTGGCATATGAGGACTAGTATTTTCAAATCCAAAAGTTGGCTTAGTTTTACAGAGGAAGCTGACTGCAACCTTAGCTACCTTTCCATAATGCTGGACTCGGTCGTAACTTAAATGTACAGGAGCATAATGTGAAAAGATTTTTTTTTATTAATTAAAAGTTAACAGCAACAGGCACATATTAAAATGAATATGGCAAAGCCTTTACAAATGGCTTTACGCTGAAGCTGTCTCCCAAAAATGGCTGTTGCAACAAACTGTAAACAGAATTAATAAACAGTCTTTTACAATAATAACAGGGAAATACAAATGAACTAAAAGAAAGCACCAGTTTCTCAAACTAGATTACAGTTGTGCTTACTGTACTTAAAACAATGTAAAACAAATTACAAAAATGGAATGTTCTAAGTTTAAAATTAGTCCTTTAATTTTGTCCTAAAAAACATTTTCTCCTTTTCCCATCAAAAACCCATTAGTGGGTAATGTTTCAGTAGAGGGAGGAATACGTAAACAATGCACGTTTTTTTTTTTTTATTATTTTTCAAATCAAAAACAAATTTGGTCACTTAGCTTTGTGCATAGTTTAAGGCATCTGTAGCAATTTGTTACAGTTTCCTCCCCAATGTGGCTGTTCATGAAATTGTCACATTCTAAAAGAATAAATTAAAAAAACCCAAACAAAAAAAAAAAAACAAAAAACAAAAAATGCTGCCCTTCAAACCCTTCCCAGTACCCTCCCACCCTCCCCCGTCCCAAACATACTCACACACCCACACATACACGCACGCTGCAGCGAAAGGGGCATTTGTACCCTTGTTCTGAAGGACACGCTTCCCATCCCACTTTATTTCAGATTGGCAAATACCCTGAGCTGATTATGGTGTTTAGACATTCCACCTTTTTCTTGCATGTGCAGTTCAAGTGTACAATAGTGAAAACAACATGCGATGTTTCCACTGCAGAATCGCAATGCAGTTCGGACGCTTCCCCCCCACCCCCACCCCTTCCCTTCCCAAATTCAGAAGTGTTTTCCACCGTTAAAAAACTGCATTCCCATATAGCACTGGAGTAAAGCTTGGCTGTGCTCTATGATGAATGCTCAGTTCCCAGTGCACAAACAAAATTATGGCAAATGGGAGGCTTTTCTGGCATCCAAAGAAACAAGAGCTGCGGTCTCAGATTTGATCTTTTTCTTTTAAAAAAGCAAAAAAACCAAGTTAGTGGTTCCTTCACAGCCATGCGCAAAGGTTAAGTCTAGAACCAATAGTTTCAGAGTACATTTGTAAACATCAAGTCTTGCCAGAGGCAGCAGAGGATGGGCACTTCACATTTCCGTATTAAAACAGGGACTGAGTGGAAGGTATGCTTTGAACACATTTATGCAAGTCTTGCTAAATTCCAAGAAAGTGGAACAATCCATCTCAAGTCTTAGATTTGACGACCGTATTCCAGATTTCACCAAAAAACCAAAACCGTGTGGCACAATGAAGCTTTCGTACTGTTCCTTCAAGGCTCGGTCACTGCTGTGCTTTGCATATTCAAGGTTCCGAACGAAAACCAACTGAGGCGTATGCATATTGCTCTATGTTCAGATCTTGCAGTTTAAAAAAATTCTGGTTCAAATGGTCTGTGTCAAAGGAAAACTTGGAAATAAATAATGCTGGCATCATTTTACCATTTTACCAAAACCTGGGGCAGGCAAGTATCTCCTTTAATCCAACCGTGCAGAACCGTGAGAAGAGGCAGTTTTGTCATGAAGATTGAGGTCAGGACAATCGAGGTTCCTGAGGTAATATGTCTGAGTCCATTTCCTCAAAAGCGGGGTCAACATCGTCACCACTGCCAGACTGTTCCCTCTGCACTCCCTTCCAGCTAGCCTTGTTCAGTCCCAGGTGGCCAAGCATTGTCTGCGACAGCCTGGTGTTTGAAAACCGGGCCCATTCCCCAAACAGCGGCTCCACTAAGTAAGTCATAAAACCTTCAAAAACAAGCAAACAAACACATCCAAGTTGAAAAGACAGGAAAAAGACACTCAAACCGAGTATTTAAATAAAATTTAGGAGCAAAAAAATAAACAGTGCATCAGACTATTCTTCTCCAGTGTGCATTTAAAAATTCATTTCAATATTCAGGGCATCTTTACAAAATAATCTCTCAAAATGTAGAAGATTTCACTGGTCAGTCAAAAGAACAGCATTACATTGGATTACAAATTAACCTCCTTTCTTTCACAACAATGACCAAATAAAGGAAAATATTGGAGAACATGGGGGGAGAATATAAACATCAGCAACTAAGTCACACAAACTACTTTAGAAAATTTGTAAAAGACAGATTCTATAACAAATTACCCCATAGACAGTCTGAACTATATTACACAGGAAAAAACCACATTCTTTTCACAATATTAAGCTGATTAAAAATACTGAAAAATAAAAAATCAGAGAAATTTTTAAACAAAAACGCCACAGAACATCAACATACAAACATTTATATACATGTTTGTGTGTATGCGCATCTCCACTTATTTATATTGTCTATTTCCATGAACTAAAAATTCACTACCAAATAAGAATACCAAAATTGAATCTGTCAATTACAGAAATGTTATCATTTTCTAACATTCTAAATTACAACAGTGCAGCTGATTGAACAGATCAGTTTTTGTCTCTTAATTTCAAGCATTAATTCATATGATGTTTGTTAAATTGATTATTTTCTTTACTATGTTTTTAATTGAGTCCCATTCAATCTATATGAACAACTTTATTAAAAAAAACAACTATAAAAAGTCAGCCCTTCTGCTATTTTAAATGCAACTCAAGTTAGCAAAAAATTAATATAATGGCTATTCACGGTTCTCCATCAGATCTCTGCCCACCACCCTTTTTAAGGCTGCATTTAAAAGGAATGCTAACATTCCAGAGAGCTCAACCCAGAGAGCTGGAACCCTGTTGTGGCAACCTCGACGCAAAAGGCACCCGAGACTGCATGGAGAAGGGAATGAACTCTCCTCGTCTTCCCAAACGGGGCACTCAGATGAGGAAAGTTCTGGGCAGCAGCACAGGAAAAGTCAGACAGCTGCGTCCCAAGCTGTGAGAAAACACAGGGGCTTTGGTCTCCAGGACTGTCAGTGCAGCACCTTTCGTAAACACTCAATTCAAGGGAGAAATGTTATATAGCAAGTTGAAAAAAACTGCTCTTTGTAACGAAGTGCTGCCGCACACACACGCAGAGCCCATATAACCTCTAGGTAATGTATCTAAAAGGTACTTTTTTCAAACTGCATCCTGAAAGAAGTCTACTCAAATAAATTGAACTGCAGTTACCAATCTGGATGTTGGCAATAGTTTCCGTCTGTCGGTCACAAAGTGGACTCACACCCAAGTGATACTTTTTTTCAATATCTCCTAAAGAAATAAAAGTATAATACAACTATTAAGTCATCAAGTCCAGACCCAAATGGAATCATCAAACACTGATAGAGGTGAGTTGTGCAAGTTGGTTAACGAGGATGGTATCTTGCAGCAGGTTGAATGCATTTACTTCCCTCCCCTTATCTCCCCCAAAAAAAACCAAGTAGGTCTATCAGTGAGACTAACAGTACTTTGTATTTTTCATCAAACAATAATTATAAAGAAAAAACATCAAATCACGGGTTTCCTGAAGGATTAACACACTTCCTTGCAAAACCTCCTAGACTGCCATAGAAATGACAAATTAAGATTCCCCCCTTAGCAATATGGAAGAAGGCTCAGCCTTCAGAAATTTCTCACTGAAGGCAATTTGTTGTTCTGCTTCCCCATCACCTTTATCTAAGAATAAGCTTCACATGATTAGCACCAAATAAAGCAGTCTGTTCCCCATTTATGGTATCCATGCACAAATTAGCATGTCTCAGGTCAGCTAAACTAGCCTTAAGAAAGGAGAAGCACATTTTATTCTATTATTAAAACAATATAGTAACAATGGAGAGAATCCACTCCATTTTTCAATTAAAAACTTTATTAACTGCTTACATAAGTAAGTAGCCTTAACTGCCTGCTAACTAAAAATCTCCTCCCTAGCTCTTACCTGTTTACCAACACGCCTCACAGCCAAAGTTTAAATATTGAAGATACATGATGAATATATGTAATAATTTACTGAAACCACTAGGTAAATGTAAAGTGAGCATAATCATTCATCTGAAGCACCTTTCAGGCTGAAGAATCTATTGAACCAACCATTCCAGATTCAGATTCTAAGCAGATTCTTCGTTGGGTTTTAGTAACGCCGACCTTTTGCAAGAAGTACAACCCATGAAAGTAAAAAAAAATCCATACCGTACTGTAAATCTCTATTAGTCATAAATATAAATCCCTTTATTTGCAAGCAGCTATGACTCATAGTCGCTCTCTCCACAGCACAAATACATTATGTACAAACAGATACTTCTACTCTTACTTGCCTTGATGGAAGAACTCCTCTGTTACTTTTTCACTCCACTGCTTACTCAGCTCCCATGTCCGACATGGATTACAAATATCAGCACACTTCAAAGCCATCTAGTAAGTCAACATACAGCATTAGGTCACCTCTCCCTCCAACAGAAGCATCTGTAATTATTTATTTCCTGACAGCAGATTATTTTAAGTTTTGTGAATAACAAACCTACCTACCATTTGTGCTTCTCTCTGAAGTTATGTTCTATAATCATACTTAAAAAACGCTTAGGGAACTTCAGATCTCATGATCACCTCTGAGTAATATGGAAATTCAGTCAAGTCAAAGTATTTCAGGGGCACTATATTTAGTATATTCACTCATACAGGAGAAAACAATAAATTCAGAAAAAGAAACATCAAAGTAAGCAAACAGTATTTTGCATTTCTGGCTCTGAAGTTCACATTTATAATCATGGTTTGCACAGGAACTTACCTGTTTGTCCACTTTCTTTTATAGTCCACAATATGAACCTAACAATAAAAATTTCTATAAACCTAAAGGAGACTCTCAAGGCTTTTGTTTTTCAAGCTTGCTAAACCCATCTCTAGCATGGCTGCAAAACTGAATCACAACAACAGTGCTTTCCTTTCCTGAAATAGGTTCTGACAAAGCATTTCACAGTTCTGAGACTGCACTGGAGTCATCAGAAGAACTAAACCTTGTCTTGGAAACACAACTCTCCCTGGTTTAGCAGTTCTAAGTTATCAGACTTACCAATACACAATATCACTTGGGAGAAGTGCCGAGAGGGGGGCAGATTGAAGTAGAGGGAACAACCGTTTTGTAATGAAATGAAATGACTAAAAGATATTTCTACCTCATTTTGAAAGTAGGAGATAGCCTGGAAGAAGTAGTATTTAGCATTTTAAGTAAATTATTTTTGATGCTAAAATGATGTTTTCAAAAACGTTACCAAAAAGATCACCTGTAAAATGAAGTGACGATGATTCGCATTCTCTAAACATAGGTCTCCTCTATCCAAATGGGATCGAAACATGGACAGATACTCATTTTGCTGACTGATGTCTGTGGCAAGAATGAGATCACCTATCTGGCTTTCCATCAGCTGCCTGAAATTAGTGATACCAAACATTCAAAAAGCATAACAAAATTAAGAACAACAGCCATCACTAGATTTACATGTCTTTTTATCATATTCATTATTATATAAATACAAGCTTTATAATCAGCATTTGCACTGAACTGTGTCTTTTTTTTTGTTTTCCCTCTCTGAAAAATTCATACAACATCCATAGAAATATCAGGATGTTTCATTGGCAGCTTTCAGGAAGACTAAAACAGTTTTTAGCTTTTCTTTCCCCCCCTCCCCCTTTTTTTTTCCCCTAAAAATGCAGGAACTAATTGTTTAAAGCTTATTTCTTGTTAAAGTAGGTGAAGAGGGTCTATTTTAAACTACAGCTGTGGTGGCAGAACAAGAAAAGGCTGCCAAGTTTAATCTAAACAGGTGCTTGACTATATGAATACACTTCTTCAGTGTGCTCGCAGTAAATATTATTTTCCAAATATCACATAGCACCATGAACTGCTCTACTCGAACACCATGGTATCCGGGAATTCTTAAAATAGATCACAATCTATGTTTTGTATTCAGAACTGCCATGCAATAATTTAGCTTGTTTTGCAAGGCTGTCTTACTTACGTAACAGCTTACTTACATGTTAAACTAATCTATACTATTTTGTATAAACGTACCTGTTTTCTAATGACATATGTGCAAATAAACCAGACTCTCTCAGCAACCCCACTGCTGATCTCCAGTGATGGTTCTCTAATACTGAGGTATTCTGTGAATGAAAATGGTATTACAGGTATCAGTCAATGACTTTTTCTTAAATTGAAGTTATATATATTCTAAGAGCAGTACCAGACAGTTTCGTTGGGTTTTGGGGATGATGTTTTTCTTTCTTTTTTTCTTTTTTTTTTTCCCCCAAGGAGGTTAAAACTCACAAATCCTGAATACTTTGTTAGCTTGCACTTTTTTTTTAATCCCAGTGGCATGGAAACAATGTCTGGATTCAAACCTACCACTAGCTAAACACATCACAATTTATACTCCTTTTCTGTACTCCTCAAGGCATTCTCCAAACCTGGTTTTAACAAAACAACCGATTTTGTCCTTACCTTATATAAAGTTGCTAAGTAATGGTTTGTTTTAATTAGGAAAGGTTGGTTAACGCCTGGGTGATCCAAATCATGTGTGGCAGCTGCTATTAAGCTGAGCAGAACATCCCATGGAGTTAAAGATTTGGAAAGCTGTAAGATAATAACAAACGTAATTCTGTTAGCAATGCAAGTATGCCCTTAGAAAAAGTGCAAGCGTGTCACATTTTTGTTTTTATTTTTTAGTAATTAAAAGCCAATAGAAACTCAGAGAAAATTTTAATAATGTAAAACTAATATTCCAGTGACTTTTCATGGTATTTCCCCGCGAAAAGCTACAAAATTTCAACAATGGTTTAAGCATTATTCTTTCTGAATGGAAGGTTCAGTCTTAAAAAATGCTGGCACACAAAACGCTACTTTCTGGCTGGTAATGAAGTACTATTTCTAAACGGATCCTGTAAAAGCAGCAAATTCTTAAAATTAGCTCTCCATCTCATTTACCAAGTCTGTCTGTATCTGTCAATTCTGCTTTAAATACAGAGTATGTTTTAAAAAAACATAAAAACCTTTCATCTTAAAAGGAAGAAACTAATGCTCTGGAAGACTTTAGAACTGTTCAGAATGGATTTCTACTCTTACGCAAAACTATATTTCAAAGTCTACCAGGAAAAAACTGAAGGAGGAAAATCTGCCAAAGATACTTTCAAAAAGTATGTGCATGTCGATTAACTCAGCATGAAACTGCACAGACTTATTTTTACTGTTCATAGCTGTTACTACTTCTAGTTGGGAGGTCTGCGAGTTAAACTTGGTAATAAAGTCTAGCTTGCACTAAAACAGAGAGGACAGTTCTGCCTGCACAAAAGTGAAATGCAGCAAACACCCTGCAAGGACAGAAGTTTATATTCCCCGTTGCATTTGCCATCTATCATGCCTCACATGTTTATAATGTACTTTGGTGCAACACAACCAGTAGCTGTATATGTTACTAAAAATACAAAGTCTATACTTGTATCCGAAGCATTACAAAACTTCCATCACGAGTATTAAATAAAAAAATGCTCAGAGCTTCCAAACTGCATGCCATAAAAAAAAGCTCATCACGTATCAGCTCTGATTTGCACCAACAATTGATCTGAGAGCAGCACTGAGAAACTGAGTGGGAGGAGTGGGCAAAGAGCCTCCGAAAAATATCCATGGAGCCAGAACTTACTTGTTTTTACCTCAGAAGCAGAATAAAGAGCTATGCTATTCAAGAGAATACCAGATTGGTGATAATCTGCATCAAGGTAGACAACTTCTCACCTGGCTAGAGAGCACTACAGTTTTCAAGTTAATACAGAAGGACAGGATTTAGCCCTGAAATTGTCTTAAGACATCACTTACAGCAGACTGCCAGCAGTCCAAGTAATAAGAAACAAACATGCAACTAGCTCAGCTCATTAAGGTCTGTCACACTGCCCTTTTTTAGAAAGAAAGGCCAAAGAGAACTCCTGATGTCTTGCTATAAGGTACCTCTAGCAGAAGCATATTATTTATTAACATCAAAGATGAGCAAAGCAAGGGTAAGAACAGTAGTTTCCAGAGGAAAAAATAACAACCAAACAAAAAAACCCCACCACAAACTATGAATACACAGGTTTATTATTGCCAGCTCTGACTCAGGCTATGATTCTATGTAAATGTCTTGGGGCACAGCACTATGTTCAACAGCTGCAATCTTCATCAATTCCCTACTCTGGTTCAACATGAAGTCACACAAGAGACAATGCCAGCTCAGAAGGAAAAAAGAAAAGCATACTGCTAAGCGTGAACCCACAGCCTCAGCAACATGAAGATTCCCTCCCCCACCTTTTTGTGTTCAGAAAGTGGGTTTTGGGGTTGGTTTGTTTTTAATAAAAAGTGTGTGCATATACACATATATGTATATATGTGCACACAATCCATTTATATGTGCACACACACAAATGCATGTATTTCTGTATGCATATGTGATGTAAAAGTGAGAACGGTCCCTTACCTTGGGCTCTTTTAAGTAACAGTGCATGGCCTGAGTCACATCAGCAGCATGAACTGCATTATGATAAGGGTTTTGACTGTGATAATCTTCTTGAACCATAACTGCAGGAAAATAACAAATACCCAAATTTAAATAAAATAGCAATTTTTTCAAGTACCATTTTATATGTCCTTGTTAGGCCCAGAAATATGTAATATCACAAGTTACATACACATAAAAGCGCCAAAGTCAATAAATCATCAGTTGAACTAAGAGCCAGGCATAAAAGATTTTTATATGAAGAAACAGTATTTTCTAAAGAAATCAACTACACGCAAAGTCATCTTTGATGACTGACAAAGTCAGCAAAAATGAAACAACTTGAAATCAATATATCATCTGAGATACTTTGACTTTGAGAACTTCCTAGGAAAGGCTCCCTTTGATAATCTAGCCTGTCTGAATGTTGAGGCAACCTGGAATACAAAATGGAGATGATACTATTTACCAAAGCATCAGGATGACTTCATAGCATGCCTTGAAAACAGACAGGATCAGAGGAATTAGGCACTGCTTTCCTGTCATATGAAGTGCTTTTCTTCCCCCTTCAGGAGAGTGGTCATGGGAAGCCACCTCTACATAGTTTAGGCATCTTCTCATACTTGTACTCAGACAAATTTAAGCCTATATGCAATTTAGAAAAGAATCTCATTTAGATGATGGTCTGACTAACCACTCCTAGATTTAATATTCCCTGTTTAACTTCTTCCTTGCTTTCCTCCTCTTTCCTCCATCTTCCTGGCTGTCTTTAAACATTATAGGTAGAATACTTTAAGGGACATCCACGTTAGCTTGAGTACTACATAGAGTAAAAGAACTATAATGTTAAAAAGGATGGAGGGGGAGAAGATCTGAAGCACAGCAATCAAACTATATTCTGAAGTTTTGCCTGATATGACACATTAGCTCTTTCAAGCAAACCTCAAAAGAACATTTTCCTGTCTGACTATGGTCTGTCAGTCCTTTTCAAACAAACATGCCCACAACCTCTTTTTTTCCTACTCAGTTTACAAGCCAGTACCCTCCATGTAATTGTGACTGTAATGTTAGAACATTAGTGCCATATATTTGTGAAGAGCTGTGGCTCATGAAAAGTCAAAATACTGTAACCATTGCATAATCTCAACAGTACTCCATGCATAGCTGACACCTCATATGAAAAATAATGCAAATAAGCATATTTGGGCTCTATTAACCTGCAGAAGAACTGCCTTTCACCTATCCCTCACATCCAGTGCATGAATGAGGATGTCCTTGGCTTACTCCTCAATTTTTTGTGGCTTCGTAGGCTGGTCCAGCTACCTGAAGTCTACAATTTTCTTAGCTTATTTATTTTAATAAAGCAGACCTAGGACAGTATTTTGATCACGGTTTGCCAGAACTAGAATGGCACAACAACCCTATGTTTCCAGGAACATCGTACTTTGGATTTTCTCTCCCCCTGTTCGGGTCTGGAATAAGAACTTGAAAACACAGAGTAGGAGGAGACAGACCTTCAAGTAACCTTTGGAAGTCACAGAAAGACTGCGTATTTGTATAAACAAACAAACATATAATACACACACACATATATGAGAGAGAGACAGAGAGAGAGAGACAAAATGTTGAGATCCTACTGAGGACTAAGATCAGATTTCTCTCCTTAAAAAGATTCCAGTAAGTTCTCAAATAAAGGGAATTTTGTGTGGCACTATAGACCGCTTGAGCTGTCCTAATCTTCTGGACTTTGATCTTCAGATTAATTTGGACAAGGGTATAAGAGGTAACAAAAGAAAAGAATGAACTGGGTCCATGCTAAGAAGCTGTATTTGGAAGAAAGGTTCCTTGATTGGACAGATGGACTAGGACAGATCTAAGAAATGTTTTTCTTACTGCTATTAAGTAGAAGGCATTAACAAAAATGGAAAAGTGGTGAATTTCAAAGCTAGAATAAAATTTTGCCTTCTTCCAAGTCTAATCTCATTTTAGTGACTTATGGCTTTGAGTAGTCATAGGTAGTTAAGACTATCATTGTCTTTTGATAACCATTTAACTAATCCAGTCATTCCTAACTGGTCTTTCAAGTACTGTCTTTTGCTAAATCTCAACTAACCAGGAAATAAGCGAGATGAGAAAGACAAAACACACTCAGTTACAACTTGAGTAGCTTAAGGCCAGATTTCTATAATAATTTTCTTCACATTCCAATATATCAGTACTCAAGGTCAGCTGATCTACTTTTTTGAAACTGGAAGGAATTGAGGCCACTTTAAAACAACATGAAATGCAAGACAGAACTGAAATTTTTTAGAGCTGAAAGAGAACTAAATAATGAAAACAAAATATTCCCTTATTTGAAAAGGGAGAAAAGCCTTCCAAATGTGATTTCTCCTCTGTTAAATGACAAGCTTTGTAACCACAAAATCGTTTTCTTTGAAACTGTGAAAGCCTGCTAAAAGGGACCAGAAACTTGTTTCTCCTGCTTAGCTAAAAAAAAAAAGCATCCCACTCCACAAAATTAAATAAAAGGTACTGTCACAGAAGAACCAAAGGAAGGAAGTCTCACGCCAGCATCTGTGTCTGTGGTATGGGGATGCAGAAAGCCAGCTCTTTCAGCTGCTAAATGAAAGTACCACTTGGTTTGAATATTCTACATCTATTTCTGTTGAATCATTCCACTGCTCCAGTCCCAAACATTCGAGTAAAATTGTCTTGCGCTCTGTCTATAGAGAAAGTATGCCCACACAGTACCGTGCTTATTTGTAGGAGAGTTTGAGCAAGCAAGAGATAGCATCAAATTGGCACCATTAAATATGGCCAAGCTGGCATGTTCAATACAGTTAGGAAACTATATCATGAACTTTGGAAATTAAGATTAAGAGAGAACTGAAAATCAAAACAAAGAAAGGAGCTGTCTAGCCTTTCCCAATAAAAATGTCACACTGTCAAATATATTCCTGATTATTTAGATTTAGTAAATACAATACAGCATCTGCTACAAAACTACTAAACTTGGTAATGCTTGCTTGGATTTAACATGGAGATTTCTATACTCATGGAAACTTTGAAAGATTGTCTCAATCAATATAATTTAAATCACTGTACAATCTCGACTGCATCAGTACTCTTCAAACCTTATTGCTAAACTGTAACCAGCACTTCAGTTAAGGTATAAAAATGCGGATAAACAGCAATATTCATTATAATAAAAAGCTGTATTTACCCAAAAATCTACGAAGTTTCATCGTATCTAACTGGAAGTGTTCAATTAGTCCATGAAGATTAAACAGATGAAAGGTTAAGCTGACTAGACTGTTTCCTAAAAATAAGATGAAAATACTAATTCATTGGAAGCCATGAAATCAGTGACTCTTTCATAAGAAATGTATTATTTCAAACAAATTGGTCACAAAAATTATACAAGCAAATTTCTCTACACCAATTTTTGATAAATATTTAAATCTTACTGCATGACAAGATTACATTAGCTATCTCCTCTAGTAATCACCAGTGTTTTTGCATAATTATAATGCAGTCACTAATCGTCCACTGTCAACTGATAAGAGGAAAATAAAAGGAACATTAAAAAAGCAACAGGTTTGAACGTGCAAACCTGTTACAACGGTATTCACTTTGTAGTATGTTGCACCATGATTTTTATAAACAGACATACAGTTTAAAACTGAATACAAAAATAACCAGGCGAAGGAAAAAGCCAACCAACACTATCAATTAGTGTACATTGTACATATGCTATCTCTCATTTTCATCATGTATTTTGCTGAACTACTTATTTCACCAAGAACTCAAAGAAAAAGTTTTAAGTTTCTCTCAGAAATGTATACTATTACAAGCTTACAATACATTTTGCCTACTCATAGCTATAATATTACAATCCCTTGCAGTGGTAAAACAAGTAAAACTGTAAGAGACAGAGAAATAGCTTGCAAACGCATTTACTTGAAATAGCTTGCTTATTTACTCTGCAAACAATATGTAGTGGCAGATAACTTAAGTTTTGGTACACAGACTGACAATCTTCATTTAGCAGGAATTAACCTAGCACAGACAGAAACTGAGGTACAAAAGGACAAAAATTTTTGCTATATCTAGCCTACTACTAGGCTTGAAGTACTTGCATGTGCACACCACTTTCTCGCAATAAGATACACAATTCTTCCAACAACATTTACTGAGTAGCTTGTTTGTTACAGGCTCGTCCAGGGCAGTTCATCAAGCAGAGTCTTATATACAGCATTCTCCCCTTACAAATTTTCAAGAACAAGACTGCCTGTTCAAAATGTCCTCCTAAAATGACTAGATTAGGATGCAAAGAGGATGGTATAGAAAGGCTTCCACAATAGAAGCTGTACTGGTAGTATCGAAAATGTATTTGAAAAAAAAGCATATTTAAAAGGTAGAGAAGGCTTCATATAAAAAGGATTATTTCGGATTACTCGCATCTGATAAATTAATTTGATATAAGCTATGCTTACAAACAGGTTAACTTGCACACATAGCTTTTTTTCATTGTTAAGTAGTGTCAAGTTTATCTATCTATATAAGCATTCTATTTGTAAAAATCCTCACCGTTTTCATTTTTATATCCATTTCTGTATTAAATCAAACTGTGAGGATATTACTTTTACACTAGATTAAACCAAGCATCCCTTCAACAAAACGGGATAAAATTATCTTTTGGTGCCATATTTTCCTTTCTGAACTTCATTTCTGTTTCTTTCTGCCAACTTTAAACACTAACTGCATCTCTGCTACCAACTCCATTTGACTGACGTAAAACCTGCAAGAGCTGCCCTCCATTCGCTTCCCATGCTGGCACAAATGTTGCTGTGATGCTGGACTCGCTCATCTCCTCCTTCCATTCTATTCAAAACTCAGCTTCCATTGCTGTGATTATAATACAAAACTTCACCGTACCCACTGCAGCAGCCCTCCCTCCTCCTTTCCAGCACATTTACAGATCTCTCTTCTGTCTGTCCATAGTTAAACAATGCTTTTATCTTTTTTAACCAACTACTTCTGTAGTTCCTACCGCTATTTGTAATGGGTGCACTAAACTAACCATAATATTCTCTTTCTTTTTGTATTTTGTGCAAGCTATGCATACAGCAGCTTCTGTCTGCTCAACTCCTAATTCTCTAGATATTCTATTATATGTCATAATTATAATGCATTCATACCAACGTGCTTTTTTATTGTAAAGTAATAGAACTATTCTACTTAACATCAAATTTATCAGAAAAATATTTGTTCAATATAAATAACCTTTTAGACACAACCATATAAATTACTAGCATTCCATAATTTAAAAAAAAAGACTAAGTTAGCAAAATTATTTGTTAATTTATATCAAATTACTACTTCAAATTACTAAGAGAGAAGAGCAACCTACAAAGTACAAGAAGGGCCTCTTCTACAAATCAATGATTACTATCAGTACTGACAGTAATAGTATTTTAACAGAGTAACCAAGCAAACTAGGATTTAGATTAAAGACTATTAAATCAGAAAGTACTACCTGATGAAATTTGTGCTTTTTAGCGAACAAGGAATCACATACCACAATGTAAGAGCAAGTTAAGTTATGCTAGGAGATAAAACACAAATGAAATAGCGAAAGTAAACTCACCATTTGTCAGTCTATCAAAAAGAAAAATATCAAAATTCCAATTTCCGACCTTCTCCAGCATACACTGAAAGAAAACACAAAAGCTGTCACATTTTTCTCACTATATGCCTATCTTCCCGTAGCCCAGAGGAGTATTTAAGATTAAAGACTGATGCAAGTCTTAGGATTTCTATATACAAAAAACAGTAGTAAAAAAATAATTAAATTTGTCTGATAACTGGAAAATTTTTAAATATATGTTGCAAATTAGAAAACTGAAATAAAGAAGTGTCTTGACCGTACTGGCTTGAGATTTTCCCTTCATCCTTTAGTCAATTTCTTAAAAGAAGTAAAAGTTAAAACAATTAGGTTAAAACCAGAAACAGTATGACAGAATAACGGTGTTCAGACTTCTTCAACTTTTAATTTTTGCAGTGAGCTAGTAATTAATCTGTGTAGTCCTTCACCTCAGAATGTTTATAGAAGAGAAATAATATCTAGATGCTTTACTAGACATATGAGCCAAGCTTTTAATTTCTTTTTTAAGAAACTGGCTTTTGACTTTCCACCTCACCGAACTAGCACTTCTTCACAGCTGTTCCACATGAACTGTTCTTCCAGCAACAGGGATGAACAAGAACAGCAAACAGCACTTGAGCCCTCACTAGAATTCAGCGGTCACAATCCTTGCTACCCCTACCTCTATCAGAAATACCTGCCCAGCATGTTTTACAACGGATACTTGCCTTCTCCTATTCTCATTAGCTTGGTAGAGCTGTTTCGTGATCCAATTACTACGTTCTAGCTTTTCTCCACCAGCCACTAAAACTCAGCTGCCAGAAGAAACAAACAGCATTAACAAGATCTTTCTGCTGTTTAATTAAATGTACATTTTTTTAAATCCATCCTCCAGGTTATCGGGTTCTTCCTACACTGCAGCCTGATTACATGCCATATGGATACATTGCATTATAAGCGTACTCCTTTTCTGCGTCAAGGATCACGAACAAGAAGCTTTACACACAATCATTAAGAAGACACAGCCTTTGGGATCTTGAATAACCTGTACACTTTGCCTGCTCATTCCCCTTCAGCTCTATCCATCCTCTGTCCCCAATTCATTAGCCCTTCATCCAACTAACTATTCTTTTAGTATTGCCTGTCTTCCCAGTATGCTTTACTGCAGCGTGGATATATTAGAGGCATCACACTTTTCTTTTCTAGAAGAATTGCCTACTAAAGAAAAAGTCAGTTTGGCATAATAATCTTCTGATAAATACATTTATGCATTTTATTGAGTTTTCAGTAGTAGTTAGTCACTCTTTCAAATGTTCAGTAATGAGGTTAGACTACAAAGGAAAAGGGGGGGAGTGGTAATAGTTGTCCAGATTGCTCCATTATATTTCTTAAATACAGTTAACATTTTTCTTTCTTCACTTTGTCTTCATTTATTACAGTGCATCGTCCATTCACTAGAGTTATTAAAAAAACTGCTAGCCATATAAGCTCTAGTAAACTTGTGGGACATGAAGGAGTTTGTTAGAAACAAGGAAATTTTGGCTGAACTTTATTGAGATACAGACATATATATATACACACACACACGCACAGAGAGATATAAAAAAATACATGCTTAAAATTCATATTTGGCTGCACTATCTTTCAACATAAGATAGAGTTACATACTAGCGAACATTTTTAAAAACATACTTGAAAAAAATAAAAATCAAGCAACCAACCTTTGCTTGTCCATTATAATCATCATCTAAAATGTTTGAAGAATTTGGAACAGTGATACCACGGAAAAAACGGGAAGATCTTAGGTATCGCTGGAAACTAAGCAACCTTCTCACATTTCTCGCAGACACAGACACCTCGATTTCAGAATTTGCTACAAAAAACAAGAAAATAAATACTCTAATAAACCTTTACAAAAAAAAAAAGACTGTTCAGGGAAGTTTGGTACAACAAAGGCGCTGCAATTTTTTTTTTTATTGGTGTATCAGAAGTTTCAGCCACAGAGATTTTTATTAATAGGGTGTACAGAGCCATGGCTTAGAAAGAAAGTTTTCTATATAAGCATCCTGTGAACACAAACAAATATTTAAATCATAGCTGAAACTTACCTTTTTAAGGAACTTTGTTATTGAAAGGACAGAAATTTATGGAAATTGTGTAAAGACACACACAGTATTCCAAACAAGTTCTTTTTGGACAACTGCTTTCATGTATACACACATCCAATCCATGTCCCTAGCAAATCACATAGATACGTACACCACCAAGAGAATATCAGTAATTGTGTGTTGATACAGAAGCTACAAGTAGGTTTTGAGCACATACAAATAACTTTTACACAGATTTTAAAGCTCAGAAATTCTCTTAACTTTACTAGCAAAGTTTTAAACACACTCAAGTGATTTTGGTGCTTCTGCAGATAACTACGCTCAGAACCTCTCCTCTGCGAAACAAATACCACGTTTACTTTCACAGCAAATGTGATTCCCTTTCCCAATAGAGTGAAAACACTACAGAAAATTGTTTTAGCCTGTTTTTAAAGAGTAATCCAAATATTTTGCTTTACTCTTATTAGGTTAGCTACTTTAGCTATTCAAATGACTGATACTAGCTTATGTTCAATGCCACTTGATATGCTTGAAGTGTTCTAGAAACCTGAAGATCAAACTATGCATTAGCTACAGTTTCTTTGCAACAGGCCAGGTATTTTCATTCTGAAATATTTAAGGCCAAACTTGGCCTTTACTTTCTTTTCAGCAGTACCCCCCAACAGCAATTTTAGATAACCAACAGTTAATCAATAATCTTGACATTCCTGCATTCTGCCTGAAATGACTTATGTTTTTTAAAAAAAAAAAATTATTAAGTAAGGAAGTCAATGCAAACATGCTCTTTTCCAAAAATGCAGATCCTCAAAACCAACATGAGCCCAACTTTGTAGTATAGACCTCTTGCCCTTCCAAGAACAAGGCATATTAGAAATTGGTGAAGTAAGCAGTTACAATTTTTGTTCTTAAAGTCAGTCTAAAATATTGTACAGCGGTAGGTGTGGCCTTATTAACAACCTCAATTAAAAACCTCAATGATTTCTAGTGAAAGCAGTTTAATTCTATGCAAGAATAAATCTTTATCCATATAAATTTTTCTCCCTGCAGAAGTTCCAATGTACTTTGTTCTACATTAACTCATTAATATATTAATTTCCAATCTACACTAATAAAATGCCTCTGAACAGAACTGACAATTGCACAAACATACAATATCTCATCAAATGCAGCAGCATTTCAAATCAGAAATTTGTGCTAACAGAGATTAAATTGACAAAACCGGAATATTCTTTCAGACATGCCCAAAACACTTCATCAAGATACTGAATTTCCTATCAGTTTCAAAGGGCTAACACAGACAACCTCACATGAAATATCTTTCTTCAAGTCACCATAATTAAGGCCAAGGGCACTTCCTCTGGAGACACTGGTACATATATATATATATCTATCTATATATCTATCTATCTCCCAGTTATGTAAGCAGATGTACCACATATGATAAAGGTTGCTTATAAAGCAACAGTCACGCGTACAGCAGGCAAATAAATAAGATTCTGTCATGCTGCATTATTCTACCAATATTTCTAATCACATTTGTTAACATGAGATTACAGTCTGAGCACTGGCAGCCTGCAGAACAGAGAATCAGGGAGCAATACAACTGTTCCTGTTAACAGAGCGTAGGTTCCGGCTAAGAAGATTTTCCCCCCGCACTCTTGATCCAGTCCCTTAAAATCCAAATTTCATAACAGAGGTCATTAGGTTTGAAATAAAATAATATAAAATGGGTATATTTAGGTCATAAAATGATTTAAAATGTCCACAAAGTCACATACAAAATCTAGGAACTTCACTAAATCTCAGTAAAATGAAATTTTTTAAGTAGGAGAAATCAGCACTCTTCTGGAAGCACAGGTAGTTTTCTTGATCATAGGAGTCTTTTACAGATCTATAGTTAACAAAACTACTTCTGTTGTCATGCTACAAGTAAGTCTCACTGTCACAGATGCCACCCATTAATCTTTAGCAGAACAGCAGGTAATACAAGTAAAACAACAGCTTTTTTTCAAAGTGCACAACAGAACACAGAAATGCAGTAATTTGGCAGTATAGGCCTGCGTTCAACCTATATTTGTGTTCATAAGTCATTTGGAGGGGGTTGCACATGTTTTTGCTTCACTATCTTTTCTGATGATGATGTGGGTCCAGAGGCAAATGAATTAGTTTTCTGTGAAGCTGAACAGTCATTACTCTTTACTTTGCAATATGCTATTGAGACATTCATCTTAAAAATATTTTTAAACTCTTTAAATTATTATCAGTTTGTATAGTTTGTAAACCACTATCCTTACACATTAACCCTACTTTTTCTCCCCCTTATTAAAAAAAAAAAGTAAAGAAGAAAAAAAGAAAGCGAAAAGAGTACTGTTCAGCTGATGTAATTCAAACAAACAACAACAAAGCCTACTTCATTCCAGCTTTCCTGGCAGCAATGCTGCTTAATTACAGAATCACAGAACAGCTGAGGGAGGAAAGGACCTCTGGAGGTCATCTGGTCAAACTCCTCCACTCAAGCAGGGCCACCTAGACCACATTGCCCAGGACCACGTCCAGGTGGCTTTTGAAAATCTCCAAGGATGGTGACTCCACAACCTCCCTGGGCAACCTGTGCCTCGGTCCCTCTCACAGTAAAGAAGCATTTCCTGATGTTCAGAGGGAACCTCCTGTGTTTCAATGTGTGCCCTTTGCCTCTGGTCCTGTCACTGGGCACCCCTAGAAAAAGCCTGGCTCTGTCCTCTTTGTACCTTCCCTTCAGATATTTATATACATTGATAAGATTCCCCCGAGCCTTCTCATCTCCAGGCTGAACAGTCCCAGCTCTCTCAGTCTTTCCTCATCAGCCCCTTAATCATCTTCCTGACCCTTCGTTGGACCCTCTCCAGCATGTCCATCTCTTGTGTACTGGGGAGCCCAGACCTGGACACAGCACTCCAGGTGTGGCCCCACCAGTGCTGAATAAAGAGGCAAGATCACCTCACTTGACCTGCTGGCAACACTCCTCCTAATACAGCCCAGGATACTATTAGCCTTCTTTGCCACAAAGGGCACATTGCTGGGTCATGTTCAATTTGGTGTCCACCAGGACCCCCAGGTCGTTTTCTACCAAGCTGCTTTTCAGCTGGTCAGACCCCAGCCTGTGCTGGTGCCTGAGGTTGTTCCTTCCAGGGGCAGGGCTTTGCACTTCCCTTTGAACTACTATTTATTCCACATGTATAGCTCAAGTTAGGTAATAACAGCTTGACCAAATGTCCTATCATTTAGATCTGCAATGCTTAGAATAGCTTCCAAATGAGAAAAGAGATTTTGAGCCCTGCCAGCACTCTGCAGTTCCAGAACACCTGACTGAGCAGGACTGCACCAACCCAAAAAGTAAATTGCTCTCTCTTTAACAGCTGAACATTTGCTACAGGACAATTTAGAATAGGTGAGTCAGATGTGGAGGTTTGACAGGTAATTAATTTAAAAGGGAGGCTGAAAAAGAAAATAGCTAGCTTTCAAGGGCAGGGGGAAGATAGGTTCTTCAGCTGCAGGAACACTGATAGTATCCATGCTTGCAGTTTCCTTTTCCTCACAGATAAATTATTACAAAGGATACAAAAATAAACCACTTTGTGGTTCTGACAGACCAGCAAAGACAAGTTCATGGGACTGGTAAACTGAATGATACAGTTGTGCAATGGAAACTTGGTATTTCCCTCCTGGCACCAGTGGAAAACTTCCCTTTATATGCATGATTAATAAGAGAATGTCAGCCTACCCTCTTCTATCATGAGTCATGAAACGAGATGCTAATTTCAGAGACCCTACAAAAGCAAGGTTCAATAATGTATTTATAACAAAAAGAAGAAGGTGAAGAATGAAGAGTATTACATTTGCTCAAGAAAAAGCATGCTGCAAAAACATCCCTCCTCCAGCACAAATGTCCTTCATTTCATTTGGAGCTTGCAGTGTTCTAAATGCCTTTCTAATATCCAACAGTGACCATTTGCACTTAAGAGATAAGGACAGCTTAAGGACAAATTAGAATTAGAAAATAAATAAATGTATGACATTTACAGTCTTGAGAACTGAAACAGAATGAAAGCAAAGTCAGGATGTTGGGCATGTTAAGAAGGAAGCTACAGCATTCAGAAGTGCCTTCGATGCAAGGAACCAGAAGACCAAAACTGTAGGCCTTTGTGCCTAGTCAACAGCAGCTCTCCCATGACATTCTTCTTCCCTTCTTAACTCTTCACGCCCTACTTAAAGTTAGAATATCACCCGAAGTATTTATTCCTTCCAAGTTACTTTTTTATTAAAATGAGAATATTCTTGTTTCTAAGCATCTTAATTGAGATGCTGGTATAATAAAAAATGCCTCTCTAAAATAAAGAAAAATGGAATAATTCTGCTTATGAGCATCAGATATTTTGCTACTGTTATGCATATACAGCAAGAACATAAAATAATCTAAGTTGTCTTCATGCAACAGATTTAATCTGCATTCCAAGACACTTATTTTACTTCCCACTCCCAATCTTTTAAGTGTGTTGTACTTCGTGAAAACCTAAAAAAAAAATTTATGACATTTCACAGGGATATTAAATATTTATTTTTCTCATGCTGAAATAAAAATACAAAGTAGAGAAAAGACAAGTGACAATCATTTACAATATCATAATATACTGATATATTTATTCTCAGAATTTTTGCATCTTTCGTATAGTAAGGATAGACAACAAAAGGAAGAATGACAACTTAATTATGGTTTGGTTTAATTTTT